TGAGGCCAACTTTTGACCCATCGGTAAACTATATAAGGCTGCCGACCTCACAGATGACCTATCCATTCAGTCAGTCTTATTTGAATGGTAGGAACTACCATATATACATTCTACTAAAAGTGTATAGTGGACGCATGATGTGGACGCATATATGTAGGAAAGTAAGGTCAGACTGCCCAGGGCGTTGGTTCTATACAAACTGGCCCTCGCATCCTTGTCCATATAAAGATCAAGGGGCGTTAGGCATAGAAGTGCATTAATAGTTACTCCAAGTGATGATCACATCGCTTCAGTTGCCATTAAATAGACAGTCCTACGAGGATGTAGACTAGTTAGCTTGTCTGCAGTTGATTTTCTGGTTGGCCTTATTCCGCCCAACAATGTAGGCGTAGGTATAATCCGTCTCACTATGCTGCTGTTAAGCCACAGGATCATCCGGGAATGTAAGCCCCAGTTGTTTGCAACCATACGACTGTACGTATCGCAAGTAATTTTGGCGTTGAGTTCAAATTAATTCCAACTACTAAGGCTGCGGGCATGAAATTAGCGACGGTCGAACGATGGCGGTTGCGGGGCGGCGCGATGCGACAGCGACGCACGTTTTCAAAGACGTGTCTCAATTTACTTACGTGACTTAAGAATATTGAACATAGTATAAAACCCAGGGTTTAATTGTAAAAATCGCCCAGTAGTAGTTAAGTTAGCTTGTAAGTTAGGTAGTCCATTATTCCTGTGTACTCTTATTGTCACAGTAGTTAAGTTAAATTCTAAGTTTTAGAAAATAAAAGTAATATAGGAAAAATTCTTCGTCTCCTTCCACTGCAACCCTCCCTAAGCTACCACAAACGTAAGTAGTATATAGGGTTGTATTTTTATTTATAACTAGCTATTCCCCGCGACTTCGCTCACGTGGAACTTACTACGATTTCATGGATTTTAATTTGTTTGCGCGGTACCCTAATTCTTTTTCTAGAATTAAAGTATCTATCTAAGTATAAAATTTTATTTGAACGACACCTTAATTAATAATAAAGGGTAGAAAATTCGCCCAAACTACTTCTCCTTGATATATTGAATGATAATTTCTGGCAACAATTCCGCTCTAATTTGAAGATTAAGCTCCAATAGTTCTCTTCGACGTAAACCTATGTTTATCACAATACTAATCTACTGCGATTGGCGCTGTTTCGTGCCCACGCGAGATACAGAGCTGTCATATCGCTCTGTGCCACGCCGCGCCACGCCGCTCCGCAACCGCCTTCGCTCGACCGTCGCTAATGTTGTGCCCGCAGCCTAAGTCATGCGCGTATTTTGTTTACGAAAGTTCTATGTTATATTTTGATGCAATTATCGTCCTCTCTCGAAACATGCATTAAGGTAAGTGACTTATATGTACGAATTTTCTAGCGAATTCATGTGGATTATTGGGAAAATAAGTGCTTTTGCGTATGTATAATTTTATCAATATATTACTCGAGAATGAATATTTGAGAAGTGAAATTCAAAGACGATAGATAATATTTTGGCAATTATTACAAAAACAAACAAAATATTTCAGACTATGCTTACTAAGAGACTTCCAAAAAGAGACCGATTTTTGCCGACTTCAAAAAGGAAGACGGTACTCAATTCGACTGTATGTTTTTTTTGTGTGTTACCTCATAACTTTTTACTGGGTGAACCGATTTCGATGATTCTTTTTTATTTGAAAGCTAGTGCTTCTCATGTGGACCCGTATAAATTTGATCAAGGTCAGATCAATAGTTTTTAAGTTATTCTTAATAATTTATAATGAAGTCGGCTGTACAAAATATTTAATTTTTAATTATCAATTTGAGAGTTTGTGTTTGTTTTTAAATAAGTGTTTCTAACAATGAAATGTAATAAAAATTCTATTAAATTTTAATTTGCAACCATTATATGGCAGGAATTTTTGTTTAGGTGTTCATACGGATTAAGGTTATTATTTCACATATTTCTTCCGCTTAGCAGCAATGAATCTAAAGCTGTGTTAACGCTTCACGTGTAATAGAGCTAGTATAAATTCAGGCTGTGAGGCTTTTCGTCTTAGTCCACACGGGTGACAAAAAATCTGTGGCCTTCTTTGTTTGAAGCTGCTGTAGTAGCACTGTCATTATTAAGGTGACCTAATTTTATAAAAAGAAACAGAAGTGAAGTTGATAGAATCAATGAAATTGTTTGAGATTATAATTTAACGACTTTTAAACCGAAATATTTAATAAAGTTTTTGTTTCAGATTACTAGTTTTTACTAATATAGGCCTTTACCTAAACATTTGGACTATTCAACCTGACGGTAAGTGGTGATAATAATTCATTATTACCTTGGAATCCCCCATATCTTCATCATCATCATTATTAGAGCTTACCAAAAAACCTTTGCTAAACAAAAGCCTCGCCCAGACTCAGATTACCTTATAGGGGAGATGTTTTACCATAGTTGCTACGATTTGCATTCGGGTTGACAATGGCAGTTTTTAAAAACACTTTGATTTGTTAAGGACGATGTTGCTGCTCACTCATCTTCTGTTTCATTTCCTACTATCGCCTCATACAATACCAACAGAATGTACTTATTACCTACATTTTAATCAGATGGAAAGACTGACGCTGATATATTACTCCATCCTTTTGCATTACGGCGAACCTACCATACGATTTGCTTAGAATGCGTGGTAAGAGTAGGGGAGAGTGGAGCATGTTGTTACATTTTTTTAGATAATTGTCAATATGATAAAGCCTAACCAAAAATTTGTACATTTGATTGTTTTTATCGATTATATAAATATTCAGCTAGTAAAATATTACTGAAAAAATATTTAAATTTACGTTATTTTCTCACAATGAGCAATTTAATATAAAAAGTCGATTGTAACAACGTGCCCCCGTTCGGGGCCAGTTGTTACACCTATGGGGTACGTTGTTACGGAAGATAAATTAATAAAATCAACAATGATAAATCACAATTTAATTTTTATTTTTCAACGCTACAAACAAACAAACATTTAATGAATCTTATAATAATAATCTGTAATGATATCTTCATTTTTAAACTATTTTAATAGAAACATCACATTACTTTTGCTCTAAGTATTTTAATTCTTAAGTAAAAAAACATTTTTATTACTAAAATTAAAAATAAAGTTTGTCTGCTACAAGTAAATTTCAGTAAGTAATGAATAACTTTTACTAATATTAATCAATATAGCACTTTTATTAAACTAAAAATCTTTGGATCTTAACATTAATAAGGCACTCATTTCTATTAGATTATATATAGAATAGGCTACTAAAAAGATAAAAAGATATTTTTAGAGGTAGATAACAATATCAAATACAGGTATGAAACCAGTCTTCCTCAGAATTGCAATTTATGCGAATAAATGAGTAAATGTTTCCCGTTACACATTTGACATGGGCCCACATTTTACATTCTATACATTATACCCACTCTTCTTTTTAGAAGTACTGTAACTTTCACTACACACTAAACAAATACCATTCCTCAGTATCAGAGTCTGAATCTGAATCCAATGTTTTTTTCTTTACCCTTACTTTTCCTTCTTTACCCATTTTCGTCGCATTTCCCTTACATTTTCCTTTCGCTTTACTTTTATCGCAGCTTTTTTGTTTCTTGGCAAATTTTTCTTCTTACTCTTTTGCTAATGCTTCTTTTTCAGGTGTATCAGTTATTACAGTGGATTTTCATTTACGACGACTATGGATGGATTGTTTTCGAGGTTCTGCCTGGGGAAATGGTCTTATTTTAGATGGCGAAAAAATTTCAAATTTACTTTGTGTACCAGATGGTCCTGGCATCGATAGCTTAATTTTATTTTCTTTTTTAAGCAAAGTTTCTTAATTTAAAGTCGGGTAATGTAGTTGAACATTTTTTACCTTGCAAACAAGTGGGATGTGGAGAAGGTGAAACAGTCATATTTTGAAATTCAGAGGAATGAGGTGTTCTGCCTGGGGAGTGGCCTATACTCTGAGTGGTAGCTCGGAGCTATTCTATATATATTGCTTTAATTTCGGAACTTTGTTAGCGCGATTTAGGCTTCGATGTGTTTCGCTTGTGGCGCGACGATAGCACCGCCACATCACCCCCTGCTCAGACCGGACGTAGATAGTGCAGTCTAGATGTCGACGAATTTGCAAGTGCTAGGGATTGCCTTGTAGTCTGCGGTGAGTCGAGAAGAAGGCAAATGATCTGCGAGAATGCCAGTAAGGCTCAGAGCCGTGCTGAACACTGAAGCGCAGAGAGTAGCTCGAAGGAACAGGAAGCATTATTATTCTAGTGCTGCGATGAACCTTTATAAAGCTAGATGGCTTGCAGAATGTGAAGACTGCAGACAATATCCGCTCGGGAGCGAATAAATGGGGTACTTGAGGACGATGATGAAGGTTTTAAAGTTGTAGTTTCCGAAGGTTGTTGGTTGCGTGTTCATATCACGTCGGGGTCACCACTGTGGCAGGTGAAAGGAAAAGAGGAGATCTCCCGCCGGGCACGGTGTTCTGCCCGGGGAGCAGCCTACGCTCCGAGTGGTAGCTTGGAGCTATTCTATATATATTGCTTTAATTTCGGAACTTTGATAGCGCGATTTAGGCTTCGATGTGTTTCGCTTGTGGCGTGACGACAGCACCGCCACAAATTTGTTCCTGTTCCAATTGCCTGTAATTTATTAATTTCAGTGGTGCTTATGTTCAGTTCAGGGGCAGCATCTAAAAATTTGCGTCCAGAGTCATTGGAGATGTTCGGCAAGGAAATGGAAGGATCTGTTTCTGGGTTGGGGTATGGACGATCAGTGACATAGGAAGGTGAAAAGTCACTGTCTTGAATAATATCACGATTAAAAGGCCATACTGCTGTCGATTTAAATCCCCCATGATATTTGCAGAATTTAGGGCAAGTGGCAGTAAATCTTTCACCAGACCTGGGAGATCATAAATTGACATTGTTTTTCCTGGATGATTATATATCTAGGCTGTCTGTGCTCGATTAAGGTAGTTTTTAAACGGACCATAGACTTCAACATAATATAATAACGGTTGTAAATTGTGGAAACAATGCGGTGGAAATGACAGCATGAATATGTTATTTTCCTTAGCTTTCTCGACGACGTAAATATTTACGTGTGAACTGTGGTTATTCAGCAGAAAGAGTACAGGCTCTTCGGTGGAAGGCTTAACATGTTTTATAAAATGATCGATGAATTTTAAAAAATATTTTTCAGTCATCCACCTTGAAGCATTGCCCGCTCCAATTGCATCTGATGGCCCAGTACGAAAAAAGAGATCTGTTTACTCCTTCTGGGAAATACAAACATTGGGGGGATGGAATTTCCAGCTGCATTTATGGCACATGCGAGTGTTACAAGAGTTCCTCTTTCGGCAGATGTGATTACACCTATTTGTTTTTGATCGCGGGCAGCAACTATCTTTTTAGGTTTCTGTAGCGTCATGACGCCAGTTTCGTCAAATTTTCATATACGTGTAGCGGTGAATCCATACTTTTGGACCAAACCTTCAAGTTTGTCAAAAAAATCTTTCACGTTAGTTCTGTTGAATGACGTTGCTCTACTCAAAGGCGTAGCTTATGGTGTTCTTAGCGATAGTTGAAGATTTCTATGCATAACACTGTTAAACCAGTCCGGGCCAGCCATATTAGTTTTAAGCCAACTAGGGGAAATATTTTGTAAGTTAAGTTTTATTGCACATTGGTAAGCAAGTTCTTGCACCTCTGTTGGCAATAAACCAAAATATATTTCTGAACTTTTGAGTAGATAAGAAGCTAATTTATCTTCTATATCTTTTTAGAATACCAATTTAGGTTTAACGTACCCCAATGCACAACATTCATTGTTCTCCTATTTTTTCATATACCTGGATAACGACATCGGACACAAATAAAAATTTTGGCTATTTTCCGAGTGTTAATTTTATTCTGTAATACTTCTGCTGCAGCAGACTCATAAACTTCCTGACTTTTTGAAGCTCTCTCTGTTTTTTCTTTTATAGTTTCTCATTCTAAAAAAGAAACCACGAATATTTAAATTTTATAAATATGAAGTCTATACATAATAACAAGTCACATGATGTATGTTATACTAATAGCAGTTAACACACTATAAGTGTCCCAGTAGATATAGTTCACTACTTTATTGAATTTCTCCGTTAAAACATATCTCATGATTATACCACTGCGAGATTTAATTGTGTAATCGGTGAACATACATTATAAAATAAAATACGCTTTAAAATAGAATTCCGCCTTGGAAGTGGGTTAAAAACTTTGCTCATTATCCCTTCCAGAGACTAATAAGCTAATAAGATAATCAATCCCAAACTATACGGGGCTAGTTGTTACATGTAACAACTTACCCCAAAAATTTGTAACTTCTTGCCCCATAGTACGATTTTTTAAACAATTTGAAGTCACCATTGATGGATATCGCTAGCAGATAAAAACAATATTGTAAATTAAAATTAGATATATAAAGAATGTCCAAGCCCTAAAAGTAGTAAAATTAAAAAAATAAATTAGAATTGGAAATCAAAGAATTCATAAAGGATATTTTTACTCACTTGGTTGAAATTGAAGCACGTACACACAACTTTACAGCACGTCGTTTGGCTGGTCACTAGTCGTTCTTAGTTCTTACGTAATGCGCGATGTTATAAGGAACCAATTGAGTCCAATACTATGCGCCAGAGATTTCTAAATTTCGGAAAAATTTCGTGTAACTATTTACCCCTGTAACAACATGCCTCACTCTTCCCTACATAATATATCGATTACAATCGGGTGAAAATCCGCCGAGCGCCTGGTTATCCGATAATAGTTATACAAACACAATAAACATTTTAAAATGCCAAGAACCCAACTGGTTTATTAAGGTTAAAATAAATAAAAATTGGTACAAGTGCAAAGAAGGATAAAATATTTTAAAAATTAATTAGCTAAGATCTGCGAAAAAATTAAAATGATGTCTTTCTCTTTTCTGTCTTTGTCTTTTTCGGTAAACCGATGTCCATAGAGGCCATGTAATGTTTTTGACCTTTCCCATAATCGTCTCTTGCAACACCCAACATTAGAAAAGTATAGAATATATACGTCCCACTGTTGTGGGACGTATATATTCTCTGAATTATTTTTAAGGCCTAACAAGGCCAAAGCCGCCTCCTGTCTGTGCGATTAGTTCGCCGCGTTACTTTAGTGCGTGTTAGTGGACTTCATTTCCCTGAGCTACCACAGCTAAAATAAATATCTATTATAGATTCATGCTTTCACAGAATACCAGCGTAAAACAGCAACTTAATGCTGCTGTGTTTCGTATGGTGAGTGTAGTGAACCGGAGACCCTTTTTACTGGAAACGAGGCATTTCATCTTAATCCTCAGGAGTGACAACGCATCTGCATTTTGATTCTTAATCGCAAATAAACGTAGATGTCTATGGGCCTCAGCATCCACTCACCATCAGGTGGACTGTGTGCTCGTTTGTCACCCTTATTCTATAAAAAATACACTATTATTAAGGTAAATGAACAATGTTGTGGCCATTATCGTTAACCGAGTAGCATTAACCATTGTCGTACATACCGCAAATAAACGGACTTTTCTATGCCTGTAGTTTATGAAGGTGATTCACACTGTAATATAGAACACAATGTTATATAGCAGTATATATGCACGTTATTTCGTTCGGTTTCGTGACCTATGTACATTTTTCAGAAATTGTTTAAAGAAACTGAAAGGTACAGAACGATCTGATTAGATTTTATTGGACGTAGTGAATACTTAAATGTAGCCTTGAACTGCTTGTTACGTTAGTCAATGCTAGGGTCGGTCAAGCCAACCCTAAAAACAAGGTCAAAAAATATTTTTTTTATGTAACGAGAATGTTACAAGAAAGGTATGTTTAGTAATAAAAATTTAACGACATACATAATTCTTAACCAACCTTTTTATGAAACCATTTAAACTTTTTTTTGCTAGGTTTTTGCAAAGGTATTGATTGCATTGTAACTGTTAAACCAGTTTCGAATTCATGTACTTAAGTATGAAACAGTAAACAAGTTTTTTTCCTTTATCTTTAAACACATTTTTAAAGAGGTTAGTACATGACTGCTGCTTGAAAAAAAGTGATTTAAGACGGCATGAATGTTTGTGGTTTATTTTTTATTATTTGCAATTTTAATATATTATGTAATTTTTAATATTCGCTGAGCCACCCGTATCTGTGCTCAATGCTTTGATAAGACATCGTATGGCCAGATTTTGAAGTATTCTATACTTATTATACTCTTTGAAGTATTCTGCCTAAATATGGAAACGCCATTGTACAAACTTTACGCAACATTTTTTGACGGGTTTTCTGTAAAAAAATGATGATATTATTATTATTATATTTAATGTGGATGGATATATCTATGTACTTGCAATTAATAAGTACACTATATTGAACATGTTTTTCGGTATAATTTACATAAATTTTATGTAAGGAAATCGTATATTATAAGCATGTCGAATTAAGTCTGTAATTGCACCTGCCACAATATTTAATTATGCCACGGGTTGACTGGCAGAAAATGTCGTTAGCCATTAATTCCGCCCTTTGTTATCTTACTTATAAAGGTGCTTAAAATAAAGCCTAAATAAATATAATATATGACCTGCCTTATAACTAAATAGTAAAAACCATATTATACAATATGTAGGTTTATAAAACGTCCAATTTTAACAATGTGTGAGGCGGCAAGCCGGTATAGTTCTGTAACAACGGTTGCAACAGAAAGTATTAATTGTAAAACTTATAGTCTTTCAAGTCCTCGTAAAGAATGGCAGCTAGCTCATCGGTAGGCCCTTTGTCCAACGGGCTAGTAAAGAAAAAGAATAAAAAAAAACCAAAGTCTACGTCATCGCCATCTTAAATCAAATTATTATAAGTCTTATGCTTCTACAATTATATGGGGCTGGCATTATCGCGTGTCTACGGAGAAATGTCAGGGTTATAAAAAGTTATTACAAGAATATGTATGATATAATCGGCTTAGCGTTACTGCTAGAATTGATTAATAAAGCTTTTCCTAAAGACTAATTAAATTTAATAAAAAAATCAGCTAGTTTTTTTTTAAATCACATGTCTCTCATACTTACTTAGACATTTTTTAAAAGAGACCCTGACGCCCACTGTAAATACCTATTAGGTTATCCATTATTTACCGGACACCATGTATAAGCTAGAAAATAAAACAAAACGAAATTGTTTTTAACATTTTAGAGCCATGTCGATGAAATATTGATTTAAAAACCATCGTGCCTGTCGTAAATGGTGACAAAAGGAGACCGAAACAGGAGATTGGTAGTAGTATCTTACAGCGTCTTTGAGCCAAGCGTGGCAGCTATGGCAACATCCCCATATACATATGATGCAATCTATGGTCAGCTGTGGACTTTTCATACAGCGTGATTTATGAATAAATTAAAGAATGAAAAAAAAAAGTTTCAGTGCAAGTTATTCTTGCACAATTGCTGTGACGTGCCAAGAATATAAATATTGCTTAATTTATCTGTCCTTATATAATTTATATTTATTTTGACATTATTGTAAACTGATTTAAAGCCAGGGCTAGATGAAGATTTTGAACGTGGTAGAGCCATGCTGCAGCTATATTAGTAGTATAGTTGTAGCACGAATGGGTCGGCTCGACCGGGAAAGGACCACGCTCTCACAAAATATCAGCGTAAAATAGCAGCTTAATAATGCTGTGTTTCGTATGGTGAGTGTAGAGAACCAGAGACCCTTTTTACTGGAAAAGAGGCATTCCATCTTAGTCCTCACGGGTGACAACACATATGCATTTTGATTCTTTATTGAGGATAAATGTAGATGTCTATGGGTCACAGCAACCACTTACCATCAGGTGGACTGTGTGCTCGTTTGTCACCCTTATCTTATAAAAAAAGGGATCGTTTCAATTGGAAATTGTGGACTAATGCTACTTACTTAATATTTTTCTATATATTTTACATTACATTTGTACATTTTCATTTATGTGCTAGTAAATCTAGTAGTGTATGAATACGATGGATTAGGTTGTTCGTTTAAATTGTATTATTGTAGTGGTCATTAATTATATATAGGCAGAATATAAGAAAATTATACCATCCCTGATATATTTTGAGCAAGTTATAATAAAGCACACGGTTAGGAAATGTACAGATCCAGTGTAGCTG